TATTGGCGAAGCAATATAACAGATGTCATGTAACATAAAACCGACGTTTCGTATTTGCAATTTCCTTTTATTTGACAATAAACTTAATTGAATTCATTTAAATATATTAAATCTTGTATTTTGTTACCAAAATATGTTTAAAGGTCTCCAACACTGTTTATATCACATTGTTTATATCAAAGTAATGTTCCTAATGAAATTGACTATAATTATGTATCATAGTCATCTGAAACTGTCAGTTTAGAATCATTGTCAAAGTGTCACTGTCAGTTCATTAGCAAAGTTTCAATGTCCTGGTCAGTTTAATATAACTATCAAAATTTCAATGCAACTGTCAGTTTAGTATGATTGTCAAAGTCTCACTGTCAGTTCAGTATCAAAGTTTCAATGTCTCGAACAGTTTAGAATCACTGTCAAAATTTCAATGCTGGCAGTTTAATATCACAGTTCAGTATCATTGTCAAAGTTTTACTGTCAGTTCAGTATTATTGTCAGTGTCACTGTTAATTCAGTAGCACTGTTAAAGTTTCACTCTCACTGCAAGTTTCATTATCAAATTATCACTGTTAGTTTACTATTAGTGCAACTGTTAGCAACCTTAAAAGTTTATTATTACATTTATTGTTCAATTTTATTTTAATTTGTATAATTCGAAAAACAAAAGAAAAACATCAAACTCATAGACTGTTAATGTGTTACTGTCACTGACAGTTTCATTGTCAAACTGTCATTCTCAGTTCAGTATTACTGTCAAAATATGACTATCAGTGAAAGTAGGATAAAATTTATTATTAAATTTTCCGACCAATTTTCTTTTAATTAATTGTAAATAAAGAAAAAAGGAATAATTACCGAAAAATTATAATTTCAAAGTTTACAATTTTTTTTTTTAAATTTTTTAACAATAAATAAATATGATTTTGAACATTATTTACCAAGAATAAAATAATAATATTTGAAACCTGAAACTGTGATTTACGCTGACTCTCGTTTTATTTTCCTGAATAATGAAAAATTTTGCAGCTCGGCGAGTTCTACATTAAAGTTCTCTAAAAGTTTTTAATATGTAGGGTGATGAGGGGGAGAAAAAAGAAGAAGAGAATAGATAAAAAGAAAGAAGATAATGTAGAAAAAAGTGGCAGAGCGAAGAAAGAAAATCGCGAAGCTTTCCAATTCACTCGGTTTTTCAGTTTGGTTTTAATTGTTGGAAAAGGTGCGAAGCGAAAACGTAATGTGCATAATCATCTTCTTCTACCGCACGAAAATTTTATATTTTCCTCGGTGAAACGGTGAAAACTGGGTTTTTGCGAATTATGCAAATCCTGAAAACCCTGTTTCGAATTAACGAAAAAGATGGATGGACGGACAAAAAAAATGAGCATATACATACAATACTACTTCATTTACATGGCATTGTATATTTCATGTAACATCCCTGAAAAATGATTTACATCATTTACCATTTTTATAATTAACTGTAATCTTTTTATTCTATATGATAATTATAACTTGATTTCAAAATGTCGCAATAACTCGCATAATGCGGCTTCGATTATCCCTGATTCACTGCAATTGAAAATTGCAAAACAAACTAAATTCTAATAAATTACTAGAAAAATATTCGTTTTTTTTTTCTTTTATAAACTCAAGTCTCTATTTGTGCGGTTTATTACCATTTAATTCCTCAATTAGTCGCTATTGGTGGAATCGGTTACCCGCACTATTCGAGGTATTGATTATTTTAATTTCAATATATATTTGCATATAATTAGTATTTTTTCCTTCCATCTAAATTTAAAAGTTTATATAAAAAAAAACTTCCATAATATGTACATATAAGTAACTGTATGTAAATCAATATATTTTATGTTTGTGTTATGATTTACACGTAGCATTTTATCGATAAAATATAATAATTACAAGCATTTTATAAAACGAACATATTTGTACATATTTATAACAAAAAATTAAATGTCTACAAATATTATACATAGATTATCTATTTCAGGATCAGCAAATCGTGGTAAATTAACCTAAATGATAAAAATAAAATTCTCTATCACGTTTACCAATTAAAATATTATATTGCAAAAGCTTCTAAATTTCTACATGAGAAGGCAGTCATAAAGTTGCTGCGTTTTGCAACAATATACCTATTTATCTTGTTTAAATCAAGGGGATAACTTTGGTGTAATTAAATATATTAAATTAAATAGGAACACCTATGATCTAATTCAATAATTTAATAACAGAAAAGGAAAGAAAGCGATCTACTATTAATTAGTTTTAGAAGTACTTTTACCCAGAGATTATAAATGAATTACAACTATATTCATTTCATGTTGCATCTTCGGTTATATCCCACTTTATGTAAAGTTGTCTAATTCAAACTAATTTTTAATAAACCAGTAGAATAACAATTGAGAAACTAATTAGTATACTGCGAAATATATCAAATTTAATCAACAACAATTTGAAAAACAAAAAAGCAACACAATTACTATGTTTATAGAAATATTTGTACATTTGTACTAAATGTCTTTTAATATTATACATATACTATCTAATTCATTTTCGGTAAAACGGGGTACATTACCCCAAATGATAAAAATTAAATTCTCTATCATGTTTACCAAATAAAATATTGTATTTTTTTATGTTAAAACATGCAAAAACTTTTAAATGTCTATATGAGAAGGCAGTCAAAAAGATGCTGCCTTTTGCTACAATCTACCTATTTCTCTGTTTCAAATCAAGTGGGTAACTATTTTAGGGTAATAGCTAAACCTATGATCTAATTCAATAATTTAATAACAGAAAATGAGAGAGATTCAAATTAATTACAACTATATTCAACTCATATTGCGCCTTGGGATATATTATCCCACTTTATGTAAAGTTGTCTAATTCAAACTAATTTCTTGAATGTGGAATAACAACTGACAAACTAATAACTATACTACTAAATATATCTAATTAAATAAACCTAAAATACTTTTCAATGAATATCAAAATTAATAAATATAATCTAAAAATATGAAAACAGTAAAATTTGAATAAAAAGACAAGATTTTAGTTATTTAATCACACTTTTTTGGGTTTTTAAACTAAAGTGAAAAATAATATATTCATTCAATTTATTTCAATTATTAAGAAAACCACTTTGGCAAAAATGTTAGTAATTTAGTTGAATTTATTTTTGGTCTAATTTAAAATTTTAAAAAATCGGTAAAGAATTATCAAATTACATTATAATGAATAAATTAAACAAACAAACTAGTACGCCACCCCCTTATAACTACTACTCTAATCTGTATTTAAGCAACATAATAAAAGTTTATTAAGTCTGAAGTCAAACAAACTATATTTTGCTATAAAATAATATTATCATATGCATGTATATAATAATATTTAACAAAAAATCGAATTTTAATTAATTTAAAAAAAATCAAAAAGAAAATAATTAAATGAATATTATTTAAAAATGTAAATAGTTTCAGCATATGTCTGATAATATTTAACAATTATCATAATATAAAATATGTTTATATGACTATAATATTATTATTATAAATAATAATATTTATTGCAAAACACATAATAGAAATTTAATAATATAACATAATAAGAAACAACAAACTAAATAGAATTACTGTATAGGCATTATTTTATTATTAGTAATATTTAAATAAAGTTTAGAAACTTCGATTTAATATAATTATTTAATAAGTTTGTTCACACACACAAATGCGTATTTCTTGAGATTTAACATACGTGTAGAAAGCTGCTTCTCTAAAATGTTTCTTCTTTATTTCTTTGGATGCACCTGATATCTTGTGTAACATATTTGAATATATTTTTTTACATAATCTTGATTAAAAATTATATAATAATGTGGTAACGGGGAATAGTTGTATGGTTGGAAGTATATCCAATAAATATAAATATTTGAAACCCGGCGCATCCACTAATTTAAGATCTAATATAATTTGTTATTTATACATATTTATTACCCCTAATTTGTCTGCAAGAACAAAAAAATTAATTTAATTTTCATAAGTTTCAGTTCATGTCTACACAAAATATATAAGAGTAGCAAAGACTGCAGAACATATAAAAACTGTCGGTTTTTAAATTTATAAATTGCAATATCTCGGGGGAATACCGCAGGGTCCCTGTGGATGTTCGTTTTCGAGTTTCAAACTATAAATAAGGTCTTCCTTCGCGTTAAGGCGCATCTGCTATTCCGGCCCCTAATAGCCACTTTCTGGAGTGACGCAAAAGGGAAAATATTCCAAGACCGACCGTAACCGCTTCCTCCACCGCCACCGCATCCCAAACTTATGAGATACACCGATATCCATAAAACACGCAGAATTCCTGTGCAAAAGACGCTGCTCCCATTTAAGTTTCAGATATCATAATAATTTATAATACCGGTAAATTAAACTCCAGACTTTCAAACATTCAAGTAATTCCATCCAGCCGTTTCAAGTTTTGTTGATGTTTCTTGTGATTAAGATAACACAGAATGAATGCAATCAGAATAAAATTACACCAAGAGAATACATAATAGAAGATTAGATTACTTAACACTTTTATATAAACATTTAACAATGAATCATTTATTATCGGAATGTTTATTTAAACATTTGTACCACATGCAACTATAAATTCATAACAAACATTAAACTTTAAAAAATAACCCTTTAAAAACGTTTTGTTTGAGCCATAAATGTAATTAAGGGATGACTAATAGCCGAATGGTTAAGGCCAACCAACAAATTAAAAAAATCAAATCATCATAATGGTAACTATCCACCAAGAAAGATTACCTACCTAATTTCAACCGCGATCTTAAATTTACTCAATGTTCACATTGATGAACAGATTGTGAATAAAATTACACGACATAAAAAAAGTGTAATCTCATATATTTTTATTAAATGTCCTTAAAATTCTTTTAATTAATTATTAATAAAAGAAGACATACATCTTTTCTACAATTTACATAAATTTCTTTTAAAATATTTCTCTTCCATTTGCTTGCGTATCTTCATGCGATAATTGTATGGTAGGTCCTGGTTTATGAATATTTTAGTACCGCGCAATTTCATCTTTGAACTCATCAACAGAAACTTCATTCTTAACGAAGCAATGCTCATGAGGATCGGTCTATCAAACGTGCCCTTCCTTCCAATCCTGTACACATCCTCGATATCTTCTTTACGCCATTTCAATTTAAGTCTGTTGTTGATGACATCCAACACCTTGGCTACGAGAACTTCGTAAGATTCGTCCTCATCCTTGATCCCTTTCCAAACCACGTTTCTGCAGCGCATCTTCTTGTCGAGATAAGCAACAGACATCTGTAGATTGAAAACTTTTTCTCGCAAATCTCTTAAGCTCTCGCAATAATTCTGTGACATCTTTCTTAGTTGCACATCAACTATCCACTAATACTAGCTGAAGCAATCAATTGTTTCGTCCAAATCCCCACCCAATGTGCTCACGCTTTGCATTAGTTTTCGCAATCCGATATGCAACGCGTTACATAATGCAAGATTCGATTGCAGAGTGGAATCATATTTGGTTTGCGGTATTGGCAAAACGTGTATATATTTGGGTTGGTTTGCTAATCGTGCTCGAGTCTGGCGCGCCACGCCGATCGCGTGTCTCTATAATTCAATTAAAAATAGCAGGTCAAGGATACCAGTAAAGGGTGGTTGGGTGGGTTTTGGTGATTTGTGTCGGACGTTTATGGTTCAATTAGGTATGGCTTTCGCCCATTACTCCAGTTTTTTTTAATTTTGTCAGCGCTAGAGGATTGGTCGCCTCGAGAACAAAACATATGGTTCGACTTCCATTTACTTTCCGGCGCTTGCAAGTTCGTAACTGCGAAGAAGGGAAGAAAAGGTGTCTCGACGCCAATTATAGCCCTCCTTAATGGTCCAGTTCCCAAGACTTCTGGCTCTATTTAGCCGATAAACGTCGATGAAGAAAGACGCAAGAAAGGGGAAACAAAAAGTGCATCCTTCTAAGTTCATCCTTGATCCGAGAACTTCGGAAAGCTCTCGGATTGCAAGCAGTTGCGAAACAGGAATTAGGAGCACAACAAGCTCTCATAGGGAACACAGTTACGTAACCCGCAGTAATCGATAAGCGCATGTGAACAGAACATCCCTTAAAGTTGATAAACAAATAAAAACAAAGAAAACAAATGCCTTTACTGACGAAAATCGTAAATTAATATAATGTAATATTACGTAATGTGATGGATTCAACCCATTTCCTGTTTGTAAACAAATTCAACTAGTGGTAACTTGTGCTAGTTACAGCGCCACCTATTGGTCAATAGCAACACTAATAATTTCATCCCTTAAATAAGTTAATGATATCTTTTAACTCTTTATTGTGTTTACTTGTTTTGACATATCTCTCCTATGTATATATTTTATTGAAGTTAGTTTAAGTTTGGTTTAATAGTTATATTTTTAGTTTAGTTAGAAGAAGTTGTATATTTTGATTATTTGGGCTGAAGAAGGAAGTTATGGTTTTATTAGAAGAAGCTGGTTGCTTTAATTGTTTGGGTTGAAGAAGAAATGCGAAGAATAATGTGTTACTTTGGTTTTTGTGCTTGGAGTGAACAGACAGTGGCTGGCTTGTTGGCGCTTATAGCGAAAGCCAAATGAAGAAGTGGGAACAAAAAAAAACTTTTATCACGTGTAACAAAAATCTTTAGCAAATTCGGAGACCATATTTAAATTGTGCACAAACACAATCAAATAAAGTTGATGAAGTGATATCACAATACTTTTTTTTTAATTATAAGAGATTTATGTCAATATATTATTTACTATGTAAGATAAACTAAATAGGAAACAAACATAAGGGTTTTTTCATTCCAAACAAAGATTGGGATGAGATATCGAGTGAAGGGTTGGACAAAACTAAAAAAAACTTGTTGCTGCTGCAGGAAGATCCGCCACCTGTTGGTGCGATGCAGGATCAATTCCTGCCGGACCTGTTGCTCGATCTTGGCCGGGTCGCATGCAGATGGCGCCAGGCGGCAGCGGATCTCGCAGGATCGATGCTGACCTTTGACCCGGCCAGGATGAGAACCGGAAGCTGCATGATTTTATACAGATTAACGAAAGTTGGGAGCGGGTTTTAACAATTATTTCTTTTTTTTCTCTGTTCTGCTTACTGCAGAGTCATGCTGAATCAATGCTAATCGGAGGGGGTTTACATTCATGAACGATTAGCTCACCCAAAAAGCGGATTAATGGGTCCACCCTCCCTGAAAATCAACAACAGGTTTGCGGTTATTAAAGTGGCGGCATCGCCGGCGGTCCACGCCTGAGATAAGTTTTAATAAGCTTATAAAATATATATATATATTATGAAGAATAGATGCAGCAGGAAAAGAGTCGGTGGCCGCAGGGGAGGGTTTCTGGTACTGACGAGGACAATGGCTGAAGTTCGGGTTAATTTAAGTTCACAAAGCGGACACCGAAGGGCGCTTCTTTCTCCTGCATTCAGTTCTTACCATCCATTACCATGCGTAATTAAAATTGAAATTGCGAGATTTCCTTGAAAACTCACCTGAAACAATAAGAGAAAACAATTAATTTCTTTTGTACACATTTCTCAAGAATACTTAATAATGCATCCAAACTATATACGTGATATAAATGGATTCACTTGAGCTCTTTTCATAAAGTTTAATATTATCTTAAGTTCAATAAGCAAACAATATATGAATTTCATAAGATTTCTCGGCCGAATATTCCCGGGAATTTTAAAGATTAATATTTCACAAGATAATAAAATTCCCGAGAATAACAATAGTAACTTAATAGATAATAACTTAATAGAATATCTTAATAGATTATTTTAGAATTCGCATACATTTTAAATAAAAAATATCCGGGAAAAGTTACAATATTCGTACATTACTAATATTCATAATCAAATTTAAAAAATGAATACTTTTTCAGAAAACTCTCAACAAAAAAGATAAAAACAATTTTATAAATTATCTACTAGTGTCCTAATGTACAATTTAAATAATGTTGATAATAAAATAAAGAAAATTTCTTGTATTTTTCAGAAAACTCTCACCGAAGTGAGATAAAATTATATCCTCTTCAATATTATATAAAATTCTATTTTGGAACTACCCTAAAAGTGTGGAGGAGAATTCAATTTAGACGTTGACCGAACCGCATTCAGCAAACAGTATTTCCCTCGAGGGAAACCGAACGGTGTAATTTCTGTACAGATCCACTCACATTTATTCCTGCATTTCGTGTATTCATCTATTTCCACAACAAAAAAAAACCGGAATAGTTTTTTTTTTCGGAAATTGGCAGTTTCGCCGAATTAATTGCGGCCATAAAGCGATTCTGTTTATTTAGTGTTACATTTATTCCTGGCGGGGTTAACTAAATTTACAGCCCTTCGCGCCGCTTTTCACCGGGACCTTGGCGTCTGGAGCAATTAGAGGTTTACGGGATTCCTAAGATTTATTTAACTTTCTCAAACAAATGTAATTTAATTACTCGCATCCCTTTTTTTCATCCTATTCTATATGTTTTTTAAGGTTTTGTCCGCACGAGGGAAGGAAACAGACATTAGCGCAATTACATTTCAGAGTTTAATTAAATTTCGCACTGATTCGCGGCAATTATTCTAATACAGCTGGAAACGTGCAACAATCACGAAGCTTACTGACAAAGCGTTATTGTTATTGAGGAATACCATACGTCCTTAATTGGCACGTAAGTTCGGTAATGTTCCGATCCCGCCGCAAGGCAACAACGGGAATCTCTATACTAATTGAATCCAGTTTAATATAATTACTACTGAGAATAGCTCTAATTTATATTTTGTGAAAAATTATTGCTTTTATTCTATTAATTAAATTACAACTTCAAATTGTACATTAAACAGACGTCATAAAACTCAGCACTCTTCAATAGTTAATGGGAAATAAAGAGTAACAATCGATGGTTACGAGGACTGAAATAATCGAGTTAACTGTGAAATACAAGAATCGAGCTGCAGAAGTTCCATTTCCAAATGAAACTGGAGCGCTGTTTTATCTGCACTGTAATAGTATTATGGGTATATTTAGGGGACGGAACGGGCGAGCGAGAAATGGCGATAAAATGTGCGACGCTGAACATCGCCCTATGTAGGACATGCATTGTTGTTCTTTTTTATTCTGCACTCTTTTCTCAAGGTAATAAATGCACGTGCTTGTCTTGTCGTAGGGGATGTATTTAAAAGTCCTACATTTACTTTCCATTAGGGCGGTTTGTTTGTTGGGCAAACATGGTGACCGATAGAATCGATCTCCTTGGCGGAGAGGGTGGAACACTGATTTCGCACATTGTAAGAATTATGAGTTAGGATAGCGAAACGCTTTAGTTTTTCCGCAAACCAATATTGGATTGTATTCACAAAGCAATATATTTTATTGCTCTCAAACATGCCAAGTATACGTAAAAAGTACTTTCCACTAAAATTTTCTGGTCAATATGTATTCACTGCTTTATACTAAGTAGAAAGTAAAGAAAAAAATGTCAGATATAATAAATGATGTTCAGTTATACCTGGTTTAACGAAAACAATGTGTTTCATGAAATTACTTATTTATTTATAATTTTATTCACAATCTGTTCATCAATGTGAACATTGAGTAAATTTAAGATCGCGGTTGACATTAATTGGATAATCATTCCCGATGGATAGTTTACCATTATGATGATTAAATTTTTAATTTGTTGGTTGGTTAGCTGTCGTCTTGTAGAACATCAGTAATATTGATGCTCTGCAATTCCACTATTTTCTTTGACTGTGTCTTAATACTGTCATTGTCCCATAGACTTGGCTGAAGGTCCATATGCTGAACCTCATTCAATTGATTGTTGCTTCAAGCACCGAGAGTGCTCACAAAGGGCCTGGCTTGACCAGGATTTGAACCGGCGCCCATTTGATCGTGGGTAGGGCGACTTAACCATTCGGCTATTAGTCGCCCTACTTATTTATTAGAGGTAAAATATTTGAACAAAAAAAGAACAATCAATTTTCATATAAATCGAAATAACTTTCAAATAAAAGTCTAAAGTTGATTGTTTGTTTTTTTCTCTTTTATTTTGCTTAAATTTAACACTTTTTCCTAAATCAGGATATTTTTCAGAAAAAAAAGAAGATATTTAAGAAACCATGTCTACGTAGAAAGTACTTTCCACTACGGTATACTAAGAAGAGAATTTAATTGATTTTCTAAATCTTTCTCTTCTTTATTCAATAAATTTCTAACATTCGATTCATCGACATGCTCGAAACCTATTGATTGATTCATCTCACATAACTTTTTTTTAGTATATTTTTCTTGAACTTCGTTATATTGAAGGTACTATAATGCGATGAGCATCCATATACACTAGTATATCGATCAGAAATAGGAATGTAATAAAACCTAGCTTGTATTAATTACATACTTTCCAAGTAATTTGTATTCATGCACAAGTTAACTACTGTAGCACTCATAAACCATATCATGTATCCAATATGTGAAGCAACTTTGAAAGTTGGCGCAAGTAAAGTTCAACAAGCTATTGTAGTCATGGAGAATTTATACATTCATATATTTCAAAAATCCTTGCAAAGTTATTTTGTATATTATTACATGAATAAAATGGGAATTGACAACATTTACAATATATTTAATTCAAAAACAATTATATATGTAATAATTTTCTTTGTATTAAGTTATTATTGCCTTTTGCAATATTTAAAAATAATTATCTAATTTTGTATTTATTTTATTGTATAATATTTGAATAATTATTGCCAAAACGAAAGATTAATTGACAATTGGAATAAATATATACATATATCATATCTTTATTATTTAATTACTTTGTAATTGTAGTAGATGTTATTATACACAATTGTATATTTGGTTGCCTGCTGTAATCAATGTGTAACAATAATAATTAAATATTGACTAGAAAATTCTATAATAAGTATAGAAATTACGTAAATCAAATTTAATTGCATACGTATTATTATAATAATAGATAACACACGTATTTCCTCGATTGATTTCCAGTTATAGTGCATAAATCATATAATTTAGTTTCCAGTTATTAATTATTGATTAGTATAATTTATTTATTGATTACTATGAAAAAAATCAAATGTAAATGTAATAATATAACATGAAATGTTATAGGATAAACAATATTTATACATTTTTTGTAATGTTTATGCATTTGATTTTATTACATATTTATAATACATATTAGTTATTTCAAAAATATCATCTTGTTAGAAATGTTGTAGGAAATTAAAGTAATGTGTTAAGTAAATTAATTAGATGTACATCAAGTACAATTATTTTACAGTTTTATTAAAAAGATTCAACAAGAAATAAGAATAAAATTTAGTTGCAAACAAAATGGATAATAGTAATCCGTGCATATCATATTCACGCTAAAGAAATACACCTGCCCAACTGTAAGACTTAATGGACAAGATCTGCCCAAAGCAACAAAAGTCAAATATCTAGGCATGCATCTAGACAGAAAACTCACATTCACAGGGAAAAGGTACGAATTATCAGTGGAAAATTATTTACTTGTATACAAAGTAATACTGAAACCAGTAAATCGAACATACAAATTATACATAGATTCAAAACAAAATGCATAAGAAATATTATTAGGGCTCCTTGATTCGTCAGGAATATACAAATACACGAAGATCTTCATATAGATATGGTCGAGGATACAATAACAACATTTAGTAGCAGATAATAAGATAGACTGGAGTCACATACTAATGTTCTGGCTATTGGTATACTCGACAACAGTGAAAAACAAACAAATAATGTTGTGTCTTTTATTTAAAATATTTTGTTAAAACACTTTTTCTTAAGCAGATGATCAACACTAATTATTAAATTACTGTTGTTTTCTTGATGACTATTTGTATTTTAGTTAAACAAAAATATTGTGAATACGAATAACATTTATTTGTTTAACCTTTAAATAATCTCTATAAAATTAAATCACATTATCCAATATTAACAATCAGGGAACCAAATTATGATGATCTGTCGTCTCAACATAAACAATTTCATCCTTCCCATTAATTATAATGAATGTTATTTATTAATTTTCTTCATATTTGATTAATAATTAATTTCATTTTTCGTTAATTATTATTTTATTTACGTACTACAAAAAGAAAAAATAAACATATTTTTGACGAAGCTTTGACGAA